TTGATTGTCGCACTGCGTCAAACCTAAGACACAAACAAAGGTAGTGACTGTTTCTCCACCAAGCGCCCGGCATTATAAAAGTCACAGGTCTTTCGGATTGGATCTGAAAAACCGTGGTCCCGTGTCACGGTAGGCGACGACACGAAAAAGAACCTTCAATGGTACTGAGTGCAGGGGATAGGTCTAAATTTGAAGCCCTTCACCGTCGTACGTACATGTACGTCTCTGAGTGAAAAAAAATTCTCGAATGGAACGTTAAACAACATATAAATGTACAATCAATCAATCTATAGGTCATCTTCTTCAGCTAACTTTTGACTGCCTGATATTTCCAAAGCTTCGCTTTTATACATCCCATGACCATTCAATACAAAAGATTTGTCATGTCAATCCATTAGTTGAGGTCTCCGTTGGACCGTTACACATCATTAAACAAGAAGGATCGTGTTCCGTTGCAAGGCAATAAAGCTTTCTAAGGAGAATTAATTGTAATTTGTAAACACATTTAAATTGAATTGAAAATATTTCTTCATAATAACTTAGCCAGAAAAGGCTAAGTGAAAACTTCCTTATTTATAGATTGAAAATTATTTTTTTAAAAAAAATGGGCCTTGGAGCTAGCAAAAATATATTAAGATTGCGTTTTATAAACTTTTTTTTAGAACAATAGGGCGACAATTTGCCAGATCGATCTGAAATTATCTCCTCATGTAGTATGGATTTTAAAAATGTTTTAGTCAGGATGTTTTAAGAGGGTTGGAATAATTATAGAGAAATGTTACATAAGAATGTACAGAAAAATGTAGCTTTAATTTTTTCTGAGGAACAACAAAGCTTCAATTTGTATCCAATACAATTACTTTAGTACGGAAATATTGACTTTTACATGAAAAACACAAGGTTACAGTTTGAAAAACTAATACAAATTTTCAACATACTGGCTGATCGAAGATCAAAATTATCAGGAAGAGAAAAATGGCTCAAGTGAGCGTTGTGGCCTATAGGCATTATCACTCGAAAACAGAATACTTAGATAAACGGAACCATTGATTCGATTTCAATTTCCCGAGTTACTGATTAAAAAATGACAAATTTTAGTGTAGAGTACAAAAAAGGAACACAATATATTCAATCAATATCCCACTAAAAGAGTTCAATATCCCACTAAATGAGTGGTGAAAACCATTGTTGTACTCTTCATAATCAATCTGAAACCTGTTTCCTTTCGAGCTCTTTTACATAAGTGTATTGCTATTCCAATTTCGCACTTAATTTGCTTGTTAATATTTTTACCGGAATTAGGACAAGGTTAAGGAAAATAATCCCCTCTTGAGGATTTCCAAATTATGAAATTTAATAATTGTAACTTAATATTTTAGAATATGATGTCGTAATTGAAATAAATTTCTGAGTAATCAATTTGCGTCTTCCATCTTTTTAAAACGAAAACTACATTATACTCAATCAGAATAAAAAATTACAAGTACATGTACATGTATGTAGAGATTAATCATCATTTTATAATAATTTAATCGGCAAATTTCGATGCTATGGTGGCATCTTTCTATTACTTGTCAAATAATTATATCGACTTGTCAGATGCTTATGTCGACTTGTTAGATCTTTATGTCCACTTGTCAGATATAAGCATCTGACTAGAAACTCAAAATCTTGATATCAAACTGTGTTGATGCCATTAACTGACACCTACTTGCCCTCATAACTTCTGGCAAGCCTACATTTATATGTGTAAAATATGTAAACATAATTATCTGATAAGTCGACATAATTTTTTGACAAGTCGCCATAATTATCTGACAAGTCAACTTGTCAGATGTTATGGCGACTTGTCAGTTAATGTTGTAGACTTGTAAGATGTTATGTCTACTTGTCAGATAATTATGCTGACTTGTAATCAATTTATGTCGACTTGTCAGGTAATGACGTCTTGTTAAATCCTAATATCGACTTGTCAGAAAAATATGTCATCATAAGAGACACTTACATATCAATATTTCTAGTATGTAAATGTAGTTTGAAATACAAAAATCCATTTAAAGTAAAATTCCTCTTTGTTTCCATGGATACAGTTAAAAAAATTGTCCAACTGATTACATTGCACCAATTATTTTTCTTCAGAAACCAGTTTGACCAGATGAAAAGAATAAGTTTTTAATGCTTCAAAAAAATTGGTTGGACAGTTACTGAGAAAAACAAGATTTAAAAGATTTTAAATAATACTTCGTATGTTTCAATGGAACTGGTCGCCATTTGAAGAAGGGAAACTTGTAAATATGTGTCGCCCCTCCCCCCTCACACATAAGAACAGCCATGATATATAATTGGGGGAAAAATTGGCTCTGGGGGAAAACGCACTCTAATATCTATAACGCACAGAAGCATTCCCCCCCCCCCCGGAAAATTGATTCTATGTGGGATTTCCGTGGGGGAGATCCTACTCTAGAGGCTCTTTTCCAGGGGGAAATCTTACTCTACTAGAACCGGGGGGGGGGGGATTTTAAAGGGGTAAACCTACTCTATAAGACCGGAATGTTACATTGAAGAATGATGCACAGTATTGTCACAGATCATTGAATCTACATGTATAAAAATTTGTTATAAACTTTAAAGTCGGGTGTGGTAAAGATTTACTGTTTCATCACTCCCGCGCAGTTGTTCTTTTTTCGTGCTCGTAACATGTTATGAAACACCTATGACAATTCTGATTAACTGCTTACACGTACGATTATTCTAATAGGCTGCTTTTCTAGGGTCTATTCTCAAAGTTCATGCCATGATGTTTGCAAACATCAATGATTGATACTTTCATTCTTTGTATTTTTCCCTTGTATATTTCATTTCGACAGATTATCGAGGTATATTACCAGGGTGAGGGAGGATAGGATACTTCTTCAGCGCCACAAGTGGGAGTTTGTAACCGGTTTTTCTCAAAATCGAGTTCCTTAATTTTTCGAGTTTGAGAAAAACCGGTTACTACCTCTCTCTTGTTCTGGAACATATATATAAAATACTTATATATTTAGAAAACCATTTTTTAAAAGTTGGAAATGATGAATGAATAATTTATTATATGAGTTGAACATGAATGATAACATATTTTGTTCCTAATAAATGAATGGTCCAATATTTTTAATCATGGTAGCATTTTGAAAATGCTTTCAAATTAAAGTACTCCAGCAAAAGAATTTACAAAATTTTGATTATTGTCCAATTACTTGCATCTTGAATTTTACATTAAAGTCTATGTGCAGTGCATGTTTTATTAAGATATTGTAAAAAGTAATTTGAAATTCATACAAATCTCTTGGTGAAAATATGCATAAAATCTCCCTTTATTAAAATATGAAATAAAATTAATCATCTACCGCAGATATTTTGACAAAATTTAAATTTGCTTCATCAAGGGCAGATAACTCTTGGAAAACGTTTAAGGTTCAAAACGACTGGCTTCTAATATGTTATCAGTCATGTGTTTTTGGTTCATCTTATTCGTCATTATCTAGCAATACATATTTACCTAGCTTAAAGTGATTCGAAATAGTTCAATATTCCTTCATTTTACATTGAATACCCCAAGTTTCATTTAAGTTTTTCTACATTATATAATCTGTAAGTAATGTTTCGTAAAGATATATATAATAAGATAAAGGCTATGTAAACAGTAAATTATGCAAAGGAAAACTGAATTCGTTTCAAGCAATAGTGCAAAAATATTTCCTAATAATAAATACTCATTAATTTAAACCATTAGCTTCATTCTTTTTAATCGTGCAAAATCTTAAGTTTATTTAGACAGCTTCGAAGCTCAGGTACGACTTTCTCACACAGAAAAAAAAAGTGTTGCATAGGAAATAAAATAATTTGAAATGTATTTTATCATTTTGTTGAAAAATTGATTTACAGGAGTTTATCGTTTATTGTCAGTATGCAGAGTGCATAAAAGTTCAATAACTTACTAGGACCACTTCCTGCTTTTATTGCTTAGTAGTGAAATTGCACTTTACTAGTAATGAAATGTACGATATGTTGACAATCTTCCCGCCATTAAATGATGTTGGCGCAATAATAACAATGTCGGAATGTTTCTTCACACTTTACATCGATTGTCTATGCCCACAGAGTAATAAGGTTGACCTAAAAGTACTACTATGTCCATTCTATCAGCCCTCAAAACATCAATAGCTTGTCTAATCTATCGTTAAGGAAATACAGAAAACAAGAACTTTAACTGTTGGAAGTGCTTTCTGTGAAATGATATGCGTTTACATGTTTTACTTATTAGCAGTAAAACTAAATTATGATGTTTACAAAACTTTTCTTATGATAAAGTAGTTCCGCGGAATCTTTAAAGCTTCCCTTTGAGATCGTTTGTACTTTTGCTATGTCTTTATCATGACATGTTTCCAAGACCTATCAATGTCTTCCTCAACAACACAGCGGTAGAATCCAAGGAATTGGACGTAAACAACTTATTATTTACAGATCGATCATGGACATCCCGAGATCAAAGCGTGCGCCCGACATTTGTACATGTTCTTTATAGTGGATTACGCGAACAGACATAAACCGAATTTCTTCTGGGACGAAAAAATGTAATAGGCAATCCGAAAAAAGTATTCGCAACCTTGTGAAGAACTATTGTCCAAAGTGCAGAAGAAAGATAGGTCTCTGAAGTACACCACTTGTGCATCAAAATTGATTCAGTATTTTGCACTTTTATCAAAAAGTACTCATGGTCTCGAGCTCAAAAGTTTCTATTACATATGTAGTTATAATTTTCCGTCTGTACTAATTCATTTAAAACTAGTTGTGGGATACTAAGGGCATAAAAAATAAAACTTTGATTTTTAAAAAAAATAAAAATAGACATTTTCTCGAAAATCTAAACTAAATTTGGATGGACTTTTGAATGGAATATATTTGATATCACACCAAATTAATATTATAATTTTTGAATTTTTGCCTCCTATCTTTTGCAGCCATGAAGCGACAGAATGTGAGGACGCTTTCACTAATCGTCTGCACCTTTACATACCTTCTGATTGGAGCCGCTGTCTTTGATGCTCTCGAGTCAGAAAACGAAATCAAGCTTAAGAATAAACTACTGCAGGAAGAACGAGATTTCATAGAGAAATTTAACATCAGTGATACAGACTTTGAAGAAATCAGAATAAATGTTTTGCGGTCCAAACCTTACAAAGCCGGGGTCCAGTGGAAATTCTCAGGAGCTCTGTATTTTTCTCTGTTGGTTGTATCCCTCATAGGTAAAAGTTGCATGTTATACTGACAAACACACGCAGTATTATTTCAAAGTATTGCATTAGATTGCATTTGCCGTTTCAGAATTTCAGTACTTTATAATATATCGCAAAGAAAAGAACAAACAACTAAATCAATCAAACAAATAAACCAAAAAGGGAATATATCATGGTAAAATTAAAATTAACGTCGTACAAATATTTCAAACTAATTAGTAAACAATATATGGTTAACCAATAAATGTATTCTGTTTGTATGGTTGTCTGCAGATAAAGGATTTGTAATTCTGACACTAATGTCTGCCTTCACAGACAGCTTGGTACTATTATCCCAGAAAGTTGTCAGCTCTGGCCATCGGATGAACTTAGCCAAGATCCTCATCCCACTGTTAAATGAGCAGTAATAGCTTAATATCTTAATTAATATCAAGATTTGACGTCAGCAGTTACGCGTTAATAGGCCTTTCAGGAAATTTATCCAACATCTGTGGTAATTGTTCGGACATTCTATATCTCTTGGACCATGACACCAGTTGTTCTTTTTCTAGATAAATATATAATCAACAGAAGCTGTAGCATAGATGAAGTACCCTATATTGGCTATTTATATGTTTTGACATACTCATTAGATGTTTCAGATACACAGTGCTACGCGTACAAACATCGTACAATATTTCTGAGTGTGCAGTCCTTTTAAAGTTTTTACATTAAAAAATCAAAATTGAAACCATTAGTACTTTATGACTGAACAAAGAATCAACAGATTTAAGAATCATATCAAGATTATACATTTTTCTTGGAGATTAAGTAAATCGTATTGGGCATTAAATGATTAATTTCAAATTTAATTTCAGTCAGTTTGTAGATACATACCACCTTGAAAACAAACTCAGCGCAAGCTGTTAGCCAGTTTTTATTCCATGTTCTTACAGTATAACATTTTGAGTGAGAAAATTTAAGGTCAAAGTTATTTTAAATCCATAATTCCTGTGATATACTAAGTATGTTTCGAACGTTTTCATTAATACACTGTCTTTTGCAGGTTATGGCCATAGCACGCCTAAGACTGTGTTCGGAAAAATATTCTGTATGCTATACGCACTTGCTGGAATCCCGCTTTGCATGATTATGTTTCAAAGTGTTGGTGAAAGACTAAACACATTTGTGACCTACCTTTTGAAAAATATCAAAAAATGTTTCAGGTTCAAGAAGGCTGAAGTTTCTCAAACCGACGTTTTGTTCATTACCTTAAGTTTGTCTACACTAATCTTGACAACAGGGTCGCTGTTGTTCTCTGAACTGGAGAACTGGCCAATCATTAACTCCGTCTACTACTGCTTCATTACGCTGACTACGATTGGGTTTGGTGATTACGTAGCTATGCAGAAGGAAAATATTCTCCAAACTCGACCAGGTTATGTATTGTTCGTTCTCCTTTTTATTCTCATTGGATTGACAGTGATATCCGCAGCCATGAATCTCTTGGTGCTTCGTTGTTTGACTTTAAATAGCGAAGACGAAAAAAGAGATGAGATGGAGGCTGCGGAAGCTGCGCGGAATGCCGTGCGATTGAATGGTGACGTCATCACTGGAAATGGTGGAGTAGTTTCGAATGCAAACGAAACTCCTGAGTATCAAGACGCTATATCAGTTTGCTCTTGTTCCTGTTACAAATGGAGGTCTCCAAACAGTGGAAAAATACACAACTCCAATCCTAACATTAATCATGTGACGTCATTCAGTATCGCCAAAGAGGACGAAATGTCGGAAGAAACAGATTCATTTCTTCACTGGCAAAAGACAAAGCGAGCCTCGTTCTGATAATGTCGATAAACAATTGCCATTTTGTGCCATATGTAATTTACTTTTAAAGTGTTAAATACTGAGAATATTATATGTTTTGAAAAAAATCTTAATATAAAGTGTATATTAAAGCACTGCATATTAAATGCCTTTTGAAAACGAGTTATTTGTGTTTAATAATATACACATACATGTATTCAAGCCCATTTTGAAAATTTTTAAACTTAAACAAAGAAGAAATGCTACAGAACAGGAAATAAAAATATCATGTGACGTCATAAATGAACTCCACTTGATATTTGTATGAAAAGAAAAGGCTCGAACATGATACTTTATTGGAGATGCAATACCCTCCTAATACTGCGTAAAAATTGCTATCAATAGTGGTGATTTTCTGAGATTGGCTAAACTTTTTTAAAAATTCTGAAGAAAAAATTTTAGTGACTCTATGATTGTAAAATAATGTAATAACCAAAAGACAACAAATTACAGGATGGTATTTTGCATGCGAGTTTTTTTTTTCAGGCCACCAGTAACGTACCACCGACACTGAACCTTCCAGAGCTGCCGTTCTTTCGTTCTATTATCACTATAACAATCCATACTCGGATCTTCCTAATTTTTTTTTCCTGCAGTGTAAGCTTTCAGGAATACGAGGCTTAGTATTAGATTATATAATAACATTTTTCGGGCAGAATTAAATCTGATATCAAGTCCTCCTCAGTCAATAAGAAATTTATAGAGAACAATTTTCCATTACCATCGATATAAATTCAAGATTCTCATATTTTTGTATTGAGCAAGCAATTTAATGAATCAATATTTCTAGTTCAAACGATAGGTTATCCACGTCTAAAATGCATTTGGTCTGAGAAAACATGCAATCTTTAATAAAATTTGGAATTGGTCTGAATATTTTAAACAGATAGAATAAAGTGTAGGAGGAAGCCTTTTTTATGAAGATAAAAGGTATGATGGCAATAACGATACTGGATGTACACATCTTTAAAAAAAAAAAAAAACTGCAATGCAACACGTACATGTAGTTGATATTTAATTCAAAGCTAGTAATTCTCGAGAGCAAAAGAGGATCAAGCGATTGTTGCGTGTACAAAGCTTTGATTGATTGATGTATGTTGTTTTACGTCCTGTTCGAGAATTTTTCACTCATAATAAAAACTTCACCATATACCAACGAAAGGCTTCAAATTCAGACCTTTACGCGGCACTCAGGGCCATTGAGCATTGAGGGTTCTTTATCGTGCCAACGCCTACTGTGACACGGGGCCTCGGTTTTTAAGATCTCATCCGAAGGACCCTACAAAGCTTTTATGAATTTGAGAGCCCGCCGTTTTCCCTGTACTGCCTTTACATTGTGCTACAGAATATGTTTCTAAGATGCCCCACATTTGCCTTTGGCATTCATTTTGTTAATCCTGTCATTGACATTTCTTTAAAATGGTCCAAGTTTGTATAAAAAGACGTAATTGATTTTAGAGCCAAGTTACTAAGAGTGTGTAAATATAAATCAAAACCTGTGCATATAATCAAAGTAATAAGTATTTGTGTTCACTGTATGGAGAGGCCAAAATGTTTTTCATGTTTTTGACAGGAACATATATTTCTCTTTGCCAAATATGGATGACCATGCATAGCTCATAATATGATACCGAATTTCGTATATAATCAATCCATTCTCATAAGCAAAAAGGTTTATCCCCTTTCTTGAGCATTTTGTAGACTTAATGTGTTCAAATTTCCGTCGAAGGTAAAAATGATTCAGAGGCAATTTTGAAATCCACAAATCTATATTTTTATGCCCCCGTATCGAAGATTCGGGGGTATATAGTTTTTGCCCTGTCCGTCTGTCTGTCTGTCTGTTTGTCCGCAAAAACTTTAACATTGCCCATAACTTTTGACTGGTTGGAACTATGGTTTTCATACTTCACATATGTAATTCTTGTGACAAGTCCTTCCTTTGGATACGATCATATTTGACCTTGGAGTTTGGCCCAGTTTTGCAAAATTTTACCGGACTTAAACCTTGGCCATAACTTTTCAACAATTGGTTCTAGGGATTCCATACCTCACGTGTAATTCTAGTGACAAGATCTTTCTTTGGATGCCAACAACTTTGACCCTTTGACCTTGGAGTTTGACCTACTTTTGAAAAACTTTAACCTTGGCCATAACTTTTAAATGGTTGGTGCTAGCGCTAGGACTTTCATACTTCACATATGTAATTCTTGTGACAAGACCTTCCTTTGGATACCATCATATTTGACCTTTTGACCTTAGAGTTTGACCTTCTTTTGAAAAAAAAACTTTAACCTTGGCCATAACTTTTGAACTGTTGGTGCTAGTGCTTTCATACTTCACATATGTAATCCTTGTGACAAGACCTTCCTTTGATACCAGCAACTTTGACCCTTTGACCTTGGAGTTTGACCTACTTTTGAAAAACTTTAACCTTGGCCATAACTTTTGAACAGTTGGTGCTAGGGCTTTCATATTTAACATGTCTATTCCTTTTGATAAGACCTTTCTTTGGATACCATCAATTGCAATTCATTGACCTTGACCTTGGAGTTTGATCTACTTTTGAAAAACTTTAACCTTGGCCATAACTTTTGAACGATTGATGATACGGCTTTCATATTTAATATGTGTATTTCTTGTGAGAAGGCCTTTCCTTGAGCACCGTTATTTTTTACCATTTGACCTAGACCTTGATGTTTTACTTACTTTTGAAAAACTTTAACCTTTTCCATATCTATTCAATGGTACTGCTAGGGCTTTCATATTTCACAGGTATATTCCTTGCGTCAAGACCTTACTTTGGGTACCAACATATTTGATTTGCATTTGAGAAAGTTTAACCTTTGCGATAAGTTACCATACGGGGGCATCAGTGTTTCACAAACACATCTTGTTACAGTTTGTTTCAGTAAAAATTTCTAAAGAAATGAAAACTTGATATTTTCATTTTGACAAAATTGTCTCTCTCTTCCCCATTCACTGGTCATCACTATATAAAATTAAAGACATGTCCCTGAATCAGTTTAATTAAAACATAACTAATTCAAACGTTTACTCAACAATATTATAAGGTATTGGATATATTTCAATCAATGAAATTATCGTTTCATCTCATTGCCCGATGAACATAACCTTGACCAAAGGTCATGACATACCTTCGGTAATACTAATGGTTCTTATTTTTTCATATGCTTAAGGGGCTTTAAACATGCTTAAAAATGCCTAAGAATCAAAAATGCATGCGCCTAAACGGCTTTTGCGGCAAAAAACATGTATTAAGCAAAATAAAACAATATGGAAATACAAACTTTATAAGTAACAATAAATAATTGTATTAAAACAATTTCGGCTACATGTAGTGACTTGGAAATATGCGTGTTTGTACATGATGTAACTGCTCTAGACATTGATTTATTTTTTCATTAACATTCATTATTTGATCCATCTTCAATACTAATACCTTTCTAATACATTTTATTCTTTCTTGTTTGTTTGACTGATTTTGTTTTGTTTTGTTTGTTTGGTGTGTGTGTGTGTGTGTGTGTGTGTGAGAGAGAGAGAGATTGTAGTTGGATCTATTATGTTGCAGGTGATTTTTCTGCGTTAAAAAGATTTCCATGAGACATTTACAAACTAAAGAAAAGTTGGTGAAGCCTTTAGGATAGGATATGGAGCATTTTCAGGTAGTATTTGTTATGTTCTTCGGATATATTCATCCGATATAATCTTTAATTTTCGAACTGTAAACAAATCAGACAAACATCCAAATATAGGAGGCGAGAGTTTTAAAGAAGTATTAAGTCCATGGCTAACGCGTTCGTTGACGCGCTTCATTGCTTGCTCAACCAGACTTACACTGTAGATTGAAGGCCAGATAATCGGTCCATGGGAAATCAGATTGACTCCTCGGCAATTATAGGAGAGGTGTTACTCTGCTTTCAAACCCAAGCAAGTAACATTTATGCAGCATTATCTTACTTCAGAGATGAAGGGTAAAAGTAGATTATTTAACACATTATTAATCAGGATTCAGAAAAGAACATACGATTAAGTGAAAAACGTCACATTAACCGATTTTTTCTTTATATTGTAAGCCTTTGACAGGATTGACCACCACGCGCGGCGGAAAATCTCCAGATATTATGAAATTCCACAAAAGATCCATCAAAGAGCAGCTTTAAAAGGAATACACCTAGCAAAGCATACCCTGTGGCTAAAACCGAGTCTTTAATGACAAGTTAACTAAAGCAATTGCGTCTGCTCCCTATCCTTTGGTTCAGCATAAGAAGATAAAACACCGGGGGTGTCAACAAGCAATGCAGACACAGTTAAGGATCTTACATGTAACTTTCCTGTTAGTATTTTAAAGAATGCTAAGACTCGCAATATCTGGGCAGGTCGTTTGGGTAATTTTCAAGAAAGAGAGGCCTCTCCCAAGGGATGGCCGTTACTACGACACAATTGCTGGATTACTTCATTCAAATCTTTGAAATCTTTCATGAGAGAATGTCCAGCAGTGACTGTGTTGAGAACACGGCATCATATTGTAAAAGGAAAAGGTACATCTAATCATTTTAATAAATCATTTGTATTACACCCGTACTCAAGAATAATCATATATTTCCCCCTACATTTTGTTTGATTCAAACCAGGTGTTGAAGGGGATCATTAAATTATATTTAATTCCTTGGGAAATAATATGCATGTCATATTCCTGTGGTTGATATTTTTTTCAACCTTTTAAAATCTAAATTGAAATATCAGATAATATTTATAGAAGTTGAAGACTCAAATTCAAGAATCATTTGCAATGATGTCCTTCCACCATGTCCACACAGCCATTCTTTACACCTAGTGCCGAGTTCCAGACTCCCAGTGTATTCGCTAGAGATGTAGAGCTAAAAAAAATAATGCACAACGTGTCTGGGTTGCATTGAGAAAAGATTTCACGATGCATTGGATTTTATTCAATTAGCTCTAAAGTTAGTCTGTGAAAATTAAGGCACCACAGTTTTTCCAATGCTACTTTTGGGAAAATAATTTTAAAACT